AAATAAACATACAATTGTCAAAATTCTATATACATACATACATACATACATATATAATGCAAAAATAAGATTACAAGTTAATTTTGTAATCTGAAAATAATATCTATTTTAAGGTATGTGTGTGTGTGTGTGTGTGTATATACATATATATATATAATTTTATTAAAAAGAATAATAAAATTATTTAAATTAAATGCACAACCATTTAGGTACTTGATGTGATGAAATTGATGACCTCATTGGAGTTCCTACAAGTGCTATCATTAAGCTTTCCATACCAATACCATACATGAACTACACCTAAAAAAATACACACATACACTAACAAAAGAAACACAATGTCATGGACATACATATTTATTCCAATAATTACCTAAATAATATAAGTAGATAGAAGTAGCTAAAAGTAAATAAATTTGACAATATCTTATAGAGAAGTTTTTTAAAAGCTTCATAAACATGGCTTTGTTTTTATACATGTCTATAGGTGATTGGTAGGTTGAAAACTAGGCCAACAAGTTGGCCACATGTCACACATGTTAGCTACTTGTAGTACAAGTTGAACATATTACATACACATAAGAAGTTTGTCTTACAAATAAAATGTTGCTACTAGTTAGATGGTATATATAGGGGCCAAAGTAAGGCCTTTCCTACTCTTGTCAACTCCTTTCTTGCTTCTAATCTGATATTCATTAATAGCTATTACAGTTTTTTTTCTTAAATATGCATATATATATATATATATATATATATATATTGCCATCTTTCTTTTAAAATGTCTCATTTGTTTAAATACATTCTTTGCATCCTTGTTCTTGATACACAAAGATTATAACTTTATGTAGTTAGATAAGAAAATATTTTTTTGTATTATAAAAGTAGAAAGAAGAAAAGTGAAAAACAAGCGAAGTTGCAGTGTGCTAAGCTTGTAATATGACAAGATTGCAAGATAACAAAGCAATGCATTTTTTAGTGAAAAAGCAAGGCTAAAGGGAGGAATATTCTTGATGAGGTAATTAATTTGATTATAAAAGGTACCAAAATAACTAAAATTGGATATCAAAATTTTGATCTTCAAATTAAATAATATTAATATTCAAGAAATTTTTAATTTATGAAATTAAAATTATAATATCTTCCACTATATATATATATATTTATATATATAATATTTGAAATCATAGAAATGCTTCAAAATAATAATATGAATACATCACGGTTTAGGAAATATAAAACCAACAAATGTATCATAAATCTATTGTTTAATATATAGATTTTCTTACATTTTACTAAATGAATTGATTATTGTGATTTTATTATATAAACTATTAATTTTTTTTAATGATGTCTGTTTTTAGAGTATATTATTGATGTGGTCATTCTATTTTTTAATTTATCAGACAAAGTTTTTAAAGATAACAATGCAAACATATTGGATTTGTTTTTCTTAATAAAAGAATTTGGAGTATTTCATTTAGAGGTTTTAAATTACATAAAAATATTTATTAAATTATTTTATCCACATCTTATTTAATTTATATGATAAATTTATAAAATCATTCAAATATTTAAAAAATGTATCTATAGGATATTATATAGGAATAATATGAAATAAAAAAAATTCGTACTTTTGATTTTAAAGGTAACATACTTGACATTGCAACCTCAAAAATTGTCATATTGATTGTAAAAACATGTTACTTGATTTACTGAAATTAATTTTAATTAAAATTGGAGATATTATATATATATATATATATATATATATATATATGACAAAGCTGATTCTTTCAATTTTCTTATGCATAGTAGAAAAAATAATGAATTAAGTTGTAATAAATGTGATATTTAATTATATTAAAATAAAAATTATACTTATTATTTTCTTAATATAAGTTTTAGGCTAATTGTTTTACAAAAAATATGAAGAATTCAACTTTTTAAAGAAAATCTGTTTTATATTTACAAAAGATTACATTTTTGTAAATAGCATAAATAAAAATTTATATAAAACATGTAATTTCAAAAATATAATATAGTATAGTATAATGTATTTTAATATGTTATAGTATAATATGTTAGTATAATATTAGTATAAATAGTATAATATATTTTAATATATCAAATAAATGCTTATTTGATATATATGTATATACACACACACACACTTATTTTCAAAAAAAATATAGTTGTAAAGTTGTCAAAGACTTAGGTAATTATTTTTTAACATCAAAATTTTAAAATTATGAAATTATAGTTTTAATTAAATGACTAGTCCTAATTTTATTTTCATTTTTAAAATATTGATTTTGTAAGTCAATATTGTACAGTATTAATCTATGTTGTGATATAAGTGTTAAAAAAGTAGTATCTAATAAATCATACGAATACAAGTTATAGATTTATAAAGATATGAAAAAATCTTGTATAATTACAGTGTTAAAATTATAAAATAATTAAAAATATGTAGCTTTTGAAAATCAATGGAATAATTCCTTATAAATAATTTAAACTTTTGTAAATAATGGTATATTTATATTGCATTATAAAAATTCATCTAAAAAACATCATTGTAATTTCAACAAAAATACATTAAAAAATAAATTATTTAAAAATATAATTTTGTTATTTATTTATTTAAATATATTTAAATAGCATTTTACAATCTAAATATATAATGCTCAATCTTTATTTTCTTTAAAATAATTATTTAAAATTTTAAGTATGGTTGAAGATTTTTTTTTTGAGATTTTAAGTATAAAAGATATTTTGATTATAATAGGTTTTCTAGTTATTTATAGTGTTCTTAGTAATTATATGTGTTTTATTTCACTTCAATGTGAATTGTAAAGGTTGAAATTGTAAATATATATTATTGACAGAGTACTTTAGAAATATTATAATTTTTAATAAATATTTTACAAGATTGAACCAATTTTATGTATCAAATTTGTCTATTTTTTTTTTGTTTTTTTTGTAAAAACATTTTATAATTATTTTTTAAACATTATAAAGTCATAAAATTAAAATAAATAATGTTATTATAAGTAGAGTTTTTGATTTAAAAAAACTTAGATATAATTAAATTTAAAAATTTAAAAGTATGATATTATATTGGTTCAAGTTATCGTATTTTTGTAAAAACGAAATCATACATATGATTAAACACAAATTAAAACCACACATGTGTGTGTGTATTTATATCTATATCTATATATTTATATACATGAACAAAAAAAATCAATAAAAAAATTAAAATATCCCATAAAAGTTTTTTTATACAAAAAAATGTATCTTAATATTATTCAAATTAAAGTGCTGAACAACAATAATAATTAATAATATAAATGATATATTTTTAATATAATTCAATGCTAAAATTTTAAATATTCTAAAATATTCTTAAATTGATAGTTGCAAAGATCTGAAAACAAAATCATCTTATTAATTTTTGGAATACTTGTTTATAACAAATAAATGATGTTTTAAAAAACTTGCATTGAAAATTGTATATTTATCCAAAAGAATATTTTAAACTTCATTTAGTTTTATCATATTAATTTTCATAATATAATTATATATTATTTTTTTATTTTATGTTATTTTAGATAGGAAAACATATAAATAAATAACTATATAATTATATATATATATATATATATATATATATATACTTATGTACTAATATGTATTATACATATATGCAATTAATATTATTTTATTATAAGAGATAGATAAAAGTTGATATTTGACGAATTAATTATAAATTAAAATATAAAAATAATTTTGTGCATAAATGTAAGAGATGTTTTTATTAGGGTTATTTTTTACAAAGTTTTTTGCTTTAAAGATTACTTAGTAATGTAGATTAAACCTTATTTTTTTACATGATTCTCTCTCTATATATATTGACTATTTTTTAAAAAATTAGATATATTTTAACAAATCAAATAATTTTTCTGGAAATTATAATATGAAAGTTTTTCAAATCTTGATTAGATGTATGTGTGTCATGTAGCTATAATAACTTCTATAAGAGTTGTTTTACTTCTAAACAATTAGTATGGAATTATCTGGCAATTTAGACACTTTGCTCTTAAGTCTCGTGGCTGTGTAGAAGCTTGTGCATCGTCTTCTTGCCAACTTTAATTTATGTAGGCCATATAATTTTTCTAATATTTTGGTCTTGGTTCAAGTTTTTTGTTTTATTACTTGAAATTATCCATTTTTATACATATAATTGTATAAATAAACTGAATTAAAACAAAATAAAAATTCTTTTAATGAAAAAAATATTTTGGATCTGCATCTATTTAATTATCTTGATAGATTTTTCCAACTAGGATTTATAAACTATGTTTAAATATTTTTTTCCATTTTGTATGGTTAAGAAAACAGATTCTAAATTGTACTTTAGTCTATAGTATTGGTGATTTCATGAAGTAATGTTTAAAGAAATTAGAAAATTTAAGAAATTTTTAAAAATAGAAAACTAAAATCTATAATATAAATTAGCTTTTTTTTAATGTATGCTTCTAAAGTTTACACATTGCATGCATTATCGATTTGATCTAAGAGATTTTTTTTTACATATATTAACACCAATAAATCGTCTTTACAAAATTCCCTTATTTTAGGCTTAACTTTAACGATAGGTCAACCTTAGATACATTATAGAAACATCCATTAAACTTGCTGACTCATCAGTTCACATGAAAAGAAGCAAAATTATGTAACGCAGTGTGAAAGCAATAACCCGCGCGGGTTTAGGGCAGAAGCTGAGTGCAAATGACCGATTAGGAAGCCCGTTCGAATCTCCAGAGAGCATGTGCACGGGAACGGGCTACGGATTGAGACCACGACCGGCGGAGGAAGTTCGTTATAACTGTCCTGGAATCAAATTTCTGCGTCCCGTATCCGAGATACCTGATTCTGGTACCTTTTCGACCTACCTTTGTATAATAACAGATATCTTCTTGGTATCACCCAGGTGTCTCCTTGGTACCTTCTAGCAAGCCACAACTACAACTGTTCGGTCGCTGCTTTGAACACCGACTTTGCGCTCCCGCCTAATTCCCGTTTTGAATTGCTACTTTGAATGCTTGCGAAAGTTTTTGACTCGCAGATTTTGTTTTGTTGGAATACATTTTAGTTGGAAGCGTCTTTTTTCGACGGGTGGTAGACTATGTGGATGATAATGGAGCGGTACAGGTGAAGGTTTCAGAGTAAGATAAATGAGTTCCTATTGCGAAGCACCTGTTGGGAGTGGAGAATATGAGTCGAGGACTTTTGTTAACCGGCGAGGGAATTTTGCTATTGATTGACGAGGAGATGAAAGGGGATGAAAGGGAATTATCTGAGTTGACAAGGAGATGAAAGGGGGTGTGTTTTTTCAAGACATGATGGTCATGCATAACGTATCGTTCAATGTGCGATTGAGTGAAAGATGGCGGTGCAAATGAATCGATTGGGATAGTAGTTTTGTGGTCATATGTGTATCATTTTCAACTCACAGAAAGACTTGAAGAGAAATCTAAGGCCTGGATGGTTTGTGACTGTAGCCCTTGACATAAATTGTAGGAAGAGTAGAGTTGAGCCGTTGAAGATGATGGGATCTTTCATTACCAGGGGAATTATGTAAGCTTCTTATCTCAGTTTTGGCTTTTTGCTAGCGGAAAGAGATAGTTGAAATGGGTGGGCTATTTGTGACACATACAGTGTAATGTACATTAATGAAAGGTGCGCTTGAGGATGCAGGGATCTTTAAAGATTTTTTTGGCGCATTGTATGAATACTGTGTATCTATGCGGCATCTTGTGACTGTTTTGCTTTTGAGTTTAATTTCTCAAATCATGTCTGTAATAGTAGCATAGCATCTCCTTTTTAGCATGCAAAGGAGTTTTCTTGCTTCTATAAATATATCATCAAAGTTACGGATGGAAATTGTTTCGAAGAAGGGCGCTGATTGAGATTTTTTTTTTTTCTTCTAATAACTTGGTTGCTGAAACTGCAATCCCAAAGTCCTTATCAAATTGCGCAATAATTGATTTAAGCTGTGGTGAGATTGGTATTTATACAGCATGGGACTTGGATACATTTGCCCAGCTTATGAATGTTACAAAGTAGTGGACAGACCAAGGGCAGACTTAGAGAACTTGCGATTCTGGTGCCAATACTGGTAAGTGTTTTCTCTTTGGGATCGTTGCCGTTCTCCAGAGACCTAGTGTTCTCAATTGTTTTCAATTATATATTTCCGAGGTATACAACCTATGATCCCCGAGCTACATGCTGGCGTAACCATCTTCTACTACAAACCACATTTCACAAGAATTCAGAAATAGTATAATTCTTGACGAGGGTTTCAACTGTTACAAGACATGTAATCCTATTTATTATCTTTGTTGCATTGTCAAACTGGATGACAAGACTGTTCCGATTCCGTGCCAGGCTTGGGGTATTTCTTGCTGAATACTTATTACTGATGCTGATGCCTTCCAACGGATTTCAGGATGATAATTGCAGTGGTGACTGTGTTAGAAAGGCTGGGAGACATTTTCATTTCGTGGTACGCTTCAGCTGTGTTCGTTTCAGCTGTACTCTGCAGATAACTAATATTCTGTACATCTAGTGATGCATCGCATGCACCTACTCACATAGATACCGTAGTTTTTTCTGTATTGAAGTTTGATCAAAGTAACAGGCGGTTTGGGGTCGTATTCATATTCTCAAATTCATTTAGAGGTTTTATGTGAAGCATCATTTTCTAATTAGTGATTTTCTCGTTTTATTTTTTCAGGATGCCTATGTATTGTGAGGCAAAACTCGCTTTCATAATTTATCTTTGGTACTCTAAGACTATGGTAGGCCCCGTTTAACTGGTACATGCCTTGAATTACTCGTTCTGGAGGGTTTAAAACTGGTACATGTCTACGTGACAACTTGGGAGGTCGGACTTATGTTTCGCGGGTAGAGATAGAACATCAGGATGCTGAAATTATAATGTTATCATGAAGGAAAATGGTGAATATGGTGGTGTTACTTAGAAATGTTATGTTGTTTTGCAGGGAACAACTTGTTTGTACTCTAAACTTTTAAAGCCGTTCGTGGCTAAACATGAATCGGAAATTGACCATAACTTGAATGAACTAAAGACCAGAGCTGGTGAAATAGCCCTTGTCTGGTGGCAGAAATGGTCAATTCACGTGCAGGCTCGATTTCATGAGCTGCTCCAATTTCTCGCACGTCAGTCCGACAGAGCCCAAGAAGGCGCGCGTGGATCTTCATCTCGGTCTCATGCCCTGAACATCCCCCGAGGACTTACTCAGGTGCCACCTAGCACTTTTACATCTGTTGGGCTTCATTGATTTATATTCATGCTTTTGTAGTAGGCTTAGCACACGGGGTTTGGATTGTGGACCTTGGATTTTTATTGGTATTAAAAGTGATCGTAGAAGTTTCTGCTGCTATTCAATCTAGAAGATGTAAGGTTTCATCAGCTGGGAGACGAGACTATTTCACCTAAGATATGCGAAGGTCGGAATACTTCCTCTGTTGGAGGGTTCGATCTGGACTCGCAGCCTGTGTCCCAGTGGAAAATGCAGATGAACTGTACCCTTCCCTTGATTACTCGTGCTAATTCACAATAATGAGAATTCATATAGGGTGCTCTTCTATCGCATCCTCCACCGCCTCCACCAGGAATTACAGGTTCTCCGGCGGCTTCCTATCCTTCTTCGCAAGGCTCTCAAGCTGGCCAGAGGATATACCCGCCTCCACTGTCCCACTCTACTGGAGTCCATGTCCAACATCAGTTAAGGCCACTCGGGATATTTGATGGCGAGGGAGATTCAGACCATGATGTTGTCGAATATCATTTAGGGGAGCGTGCTGAGCATCAGTCTGAGGAACGGTTAGAGCGATTAGTTCCATCAGCTGGAGGACAAAATCTGCCTCCAGGAGTTCAAAACACAAGGATTCGCTTGCAGACTGATAGTCCCGGGTGAGAGACTACTTAACTTGTATTCACTACATGGTGTTATTTTTTGTTTTTATCCTAAAAGTTATCTTGTACAGACCTGTGAATGAGTGCAGCTTCAGCTTCTCAACACAATGGTTGAAGTTCAGTGTTTCTTGGTGGGTTTTGAGTTGTGTTCTTTTCCACCGAAAGATGATCTGAAACTCACTTGGTGATTGCCACTGGAACGAATATTAATGATTTTGTTTTGTCTTACTTTGTTCGTTGGAATTGCAATGGTTATTACAGAAGCTGACTGAGTAACTTTGATCTATGAACGGTCTTTTGCATCATTTTAACGGTTTTATGTTAGGTCCTTGCTGAGAATATGTTGGATTAAGGGATCTTAACAAACTATCTGTTAACATTACACAATTGATTAGTGACTTTACAGCTTCAATCTAATAATCTGGAATTACTTGTGTTGATAGGAATCTGTCCATCTGGTTGCCTGCATGGCTTGGTAGTACAGCCCCCAAGAAGGTTGATTTACAAGAAGGTTCTCGTCGATATTTTGGAGCATCTTATTCTTTTCAATTGATCTAGCTGAGCATGTCTCGTGCGCAGTGCTTCAGTAAGAAATAGACATGATGACATCCGTATTCGTTTCTGTGTATGAAATACAACATTGCGACGAAGTTTTAAATAACATTGCGAGGTAAGTTTAGAATTCACTGCCTACAGGTGGGAAGTTACAAGGTCTGGTGGCTAACTTTTTCTCCGTGCAATTTGTGTAATTAGTATTACGGATTTTAACCGGATGTTTCAATTTATATTTCCTAGAAACTAGATTGATTACAAAGTTGTACATAACATTTTGAGATTAATCCATTTTCCCATTTTTTGTGACTACCTCTGTTGATGCTCTTGACTATTCTTAATTTCTATAAACTATTCTTTCTTCAAAGCGTCACTAACTTCGTAACTAACAAGTTGGTAAACAACCGTCACATTTAGGTCTTGTGGAACACTGACGTGTGAAAGATATTGATCAGATTGAAAGAGTTGACTTAAGCTTAATTTAAAATTTGTGAAATCTTGTCATAAATTTCTGCATAATTCATTCACGATAATACACGTACGATTCGTCACTTCTTTCACAGTGTTACTCAAGACCCTACAGCAAAATTGCGGGAATCAAATTGAAATGTGGCATTGAAACATACCCTTTCGTCAACCATGAATATACCTAAAATAGTCGACACAAATTCCAAGTATACCATTGCGTGTTCAACGTGTAATGAAAGTACGACATTGTCACAATGTAAAAAACACTTCCGTTTTCAACAAGGCTCAACAGATAGCTACTTCCTAACAACTTCACACAAGCCAAATTACATCCAGTACACAATCTCGGCGACTCTTGATAAATTTCCCCTTTAGACCACCCCCCTCACCTTACGCGTCGTCTTCAACGAAATTCAGACGAAGATAGTACGGTGCGTTATGTACAGATTTGAAGGACTAGGAATGTAAGAGTTCAGCGTTCTGTCCTTAAGTCAGATCCTGGTGATGTACTTCGTACAATTCTCGTGACATGAGAACGTGGCTCTGTTCTTCACTTACAGCGTATAGCAACTTTTCATCCTCGAAAAGAAAATGATCTTCACAAAGTATAATTAGCCATAATTAAAATGCTACGGGATACCAAGTAACTACACATAACATGAAACAATGACAATTATCTAAGAATATATCTCGGAGAGATTTCACTTCCAATCATACTGGTCATCCTGCAGGTCAACTGAGGAAGCGTAAAGAAGGGAGTAGGGGGAATCAGGATGGGAACAAAGCAAGTCCACAATGTGAAGCCAGGCTGAAAAAGGTAGTTGGGTAGAATATTGAAGAGAAACACATTCACGCCCTCGTTTCGTGAGATAGTAGCTGCGCCAAAACTCAAGAAGTGATCGGAAATTATTAAGAACTCTCCTGTCAGCAGCCCTTATTCCTTGAAGATATGCCAAGAGTTCTCCGTTCTTCTCCACAGATATAAATATGATCAAGGCCGTATTCACAACGCATATATTATCCTGCAGTATACGTCCCACATCATGGTGAATAGCAACAGGACCCAATAATGAGGCAAGCTAGACAGTTGAGATAGAAGAATTATACAGCAAGTTTCAATCATGATAACTTTGCTTCTAAGATCACACATGGGTACGTAATAGAGGGGCCATGAATGCATTGAAATAACCGCAAGAAGAAAAATGATTAGATTGACCAAGTCTCAACTCATGTTTTCGCGGAAAAGGTGGAAGCAAGGGCGACATAAAGGACCTGGTTGATGTCATTAAGCCGCACAGCGCACATGAGGTCTCTCAGCAACCGTAAGGTATTGTGCGAGATAAAGGCAGCAATCTTGTTGTAGTTTTCATCCTGCTTACTTTCATAAATGTAGCGATCTTTCCTCATACTTTTTTCCTTCAAAGAGCACGGATATAGATTTGGACTAAGGTCTGTAGTCAATACGTCGGTCCGCTTGAGGCAATTCAGAGATAGCACCACAGATCGAATAAACACGTTTGAATCTACTAGGTTTGTAACCAAGACCTACAGTTATGCAACAGTGGTAACCCAAATTTAGTACACATGCATATTTTTTTCTGAGAAATCATCACATATTTTTTCTGCTTATGAAATACCAACTCTATCACAATTCAACCTCTGTTGATATCTCAGAGATACCTTATACTGGACTACAAGCATTACAAGGTTAATCGTACACGAGATTAGTCCACTATAGGATCCTCCCATAGCACTGTTCAAGAATTATTTTGAAAGACGACTTTCCGGAGTTTATATCTTGCTGCTTACGAAATTTTTACTACTGTCAAAATTAATTTCGTTCTCCCAATATCTCCAAATGAGTTCAAATATACCTCTACAAACTGGTCAAATGCGTCTCCCACTAGAAGTCCGTCAAGGCGCTGAAATAAGCTTTTGTTGAACTTAATAAGCTCTCCCAAAAGATCGAAGTTAATCTGGTCAAAACCAGATACATGAAATTTGAGTTAAAAGGATCATGGTGCCTGGCATCTTCTACAAAGATACAATGGAAACTTCCCTTGTAAAAAATGCCGCTCAATCACAAACCTGTAGAGTAGAAGCACATCGGAAACCTCCTTTCAAAATTTCCCGTAGTAAATGTTCCATCAGACCAGTTGATGCTACAGTTTCCTGAGTAATCAAACATGAACAATTGAATAGAGCAATGTTAGGGATGAGACATACATCAGTCCTCCATCGTTTCTTACTATCCAACTTTAATCACCAACAATATTGCAGCAAAACTTTAACTTACTTCTGAACTTTAAGTAATGATTTTAAACACTAAATTGGTTTTGACTGTAGAGACAAGGTGACCTACTTGATCCTTAGGATCAGCACCTCGCAGAAAGGCTTCCACACATGAAGCAAGCCAGCACCTGCACGGCACTTTAGTCAGTTGTGCGAATTCAAAATTGGTACGCGCTACATTCATTCACAAGTGCAACGTTGCAAACTCTGCAAAGTCTCTAAGGAGCGTAGTTGGAAATACCGATAAAGTGAATCTCCCGGTCCATCCACCAATATCTTCAGTACCTTCACTATAAGACCATTTGAGCCCTTGATTTCAGCACCGTCAGTCCAACACGAGTTGCTTTCCTGAACATGGACACAAATGAAAATCTCACAAGTGACAAGGCTCTAACAACAAGCAAGACAATGCTAAGGAAATCAGGGTTGTGCCCCTTTTCCCTACCTTCAGATGATGCAGTGTGCCAGAACATGATTGCAGCTTATTAATGCGGATTGAAATTTTACAAGAGTACCTTGGAGACACTTGGGACCAACAATAGTTGCTTGTTCGTCCTATTGCAGCTGTCACGATCACAGAAGTTGTGAATTAACCTAAGATATTGAATTTTGAGGGCCTGCAAGTTGGGGAATATAGTTAAGATTCACCCACAAACATAAAGCATCATTCATTCAAAGCAACTTGACTACTGTAAGTTCTACAATGACGAAGATGAAAAAGATAATTAAGACAAATTTCCATTTCTGAGACTTGATAGAGAGGTCCGTTCTGTGTTTAGGTTACTACGTGACTCTATTAAAGAAGAGTTTATCTATTAATAATCTAATCCAAAAGCCGTCTGAGGGAGCCCAGTGACTTTCTGTCATTATATCGTCAGCACAAAAAAATGTCGGGTCAAGTTCCAACTAATAAGAAATCTAGACGTTATATGTTTTAGACGGCACAAACTTGTAACATGAACATAGTATAGCTTCATGTCCTTACCGACTTCGGACTGCACGCACAAATAAGACCATGAATTCCTCGAGAGTGAGCTCGTGGCTGTGTTGGTACCCAGTCCAACTTGTCGAACATATCATCCAACACACTCACCAGCCCTAGCTCTGCCAAAGAATTTTGCACCTGAAAAAGACTTTTCACTTTTTATGTCTGGTGCTGCACATCCATCGAAATTTCAATGAAGTGTTCAAAAAAATAAAATAATGGTAACAAATGTAAAAAAAACTCAACGATAACGCACTACAGCTGAGGCAATATGTATTTATATCGACGACAAACTGGACTGAACACTATGTTGAGGGGATACCTGCTCTCTTTTCTTACCACCGCACAAGGCGCACAACACAAAGAGCACTTCCACGTGATGCTGCATCCCTCAAGTCAAACATATAGATTCAATTGCATAGACATGAGGAAAGAATCTTATGAAACCAGTCATGTCTTTTAATTAAACTGACATAAGAAAGAAAGCAAAGAGCTCTAGGCTTGATTTATTCTCAGCAGTGAAGTAAGCAAGGTTCACAGGATCCCTCAAGTGTTCACAAATTATATACTAATGTATTTCCATAACCGCAGTTCTTCCCGTATCTCACATCATTCCCAGAAGATATTTTGTTTATTCATTCGGATTATGGGTGAAAAGATAGGCTGCAGTTGTACTCCAACATTTGATTTTTTGTTTTCTCTTCTTTCTGACGCAGATAATTCATCATTATATCCCAAAATTACAACGAAATCGGCAGGTGAGATTGCACAAATATCTTACAGATGCGGCTAGTTGTACAACGCTGGTGGAGAGACCAGTGCGATCCAGATATGTTATGATGCTCCAATCCAAGATCCTCTCATCAGCAGAATTTAGACCTGTCCTCTCTTGTTGGAGATGAGAAGCAGGGTCGGATTCCTGAAGACCCTCCAGCTGTGGAATAACAGCCCCTGTCTCGTCAAGAAGTTGACCTCGAGTCACACGGAATGCATTGTACATCCTTTCTAATGTGCTTCGCATTGGCACTGCGACCGCTACCTCAGAGGGTTCGGATAAAAGATTAGCCTGCAGCCACCCCATCCACAACTAGTTAATAACACCACAGAAAAGGAATTGAGTACGACGCACTTCTGACGACACATGATACGTGTGCTTTTCGATCTGCGGATCCAAGTCAAATAAGCTGATGCAAATACCAAGACTTGAGGAGCTGTGGACTTGATAAGATCAAAATCAAGTTCCGGAAAAATCTGAATTCATCAAGCCCACGTTCCACTAGGTCTGCTGCTATTCAAGAAAAATTTAAAAATTCCTAAAGATGCTCAGTTGTATCACCTCTCGACTAATGGACATTATGTCCAATGCGAGGAGTTTCACTAGGCGTGAAAGAATGTTTGGGATGAGTAGAATGGCTTCATGGTTTTTGTCAGTCGTCGTCCATTCTGGCTCCTCGATCCTTGATTTCTGTTGCATGCAACTTTCAGAACTCTGCTCCTGGCCCAACCATGCATTCCCTGCCTTGAAACCAACCATAAAAGCAGTAGCTACACGTTTGAGCACTTTGATCTACTGCTGAAATTTTCATGACTTTTAAGCACAAGTCAAGCATAAGTCAAGCATAGAAAACCTTTGGACAATGCCTTGCACAAGCTGAGGTGCCCATATTAGTCATGATAAGATTTGTGAATACGCTGTTATAAATATTCTTATATGATACATCTATCGTGCAGCCCAATGTCATCCAAAGAATACAGTTCATTTAAGATTATATGTCAATCATGGCATGTTTGGAAGAAAGCGCCCAGCATTTGTAGAAAGCACAACGTGGTGGACGGGGATGTGTGCCTGGCCACTTACGAATTTTTTGATGCTACTATTATGGTACAAATATGAATAAAAGCACTGCTTATTATAAATTATGCCTACCTCAGGTTCAAAGACCACCATCGCAAGAACACGGCAAAATGAAGCTAGCTGCCTTGAGGAGAAATTTGAGACTAAACTTGTAAGATTCGGAACACCCTGCACTGGCCACGTGTCTTGTCGAATTGCCAGAACCTCTTCTGCAAGATTAACAGCTGCATAGAAATATCACACACGATATCCGCAGTTAGTCACTGTTGAGCAATTCCCTCGTCCATTATGAACGCATAAACCGTAGCATTAAGAGCAAGCTTGACCTCGAAGGGACGTGATAAGAACGGCTCCTAACCATTACCGTAAACCAATTTGAGGAAGCGTATATTCACAATGTAGAGGGAGCATGAGTTATATTGTTAACATATGAACCCTGGGCTGCTGAGACAAGATGCGACCAAAACAGCTGGTTATGTCGACTGTTTTGTGAGATCTTACTGAGAAGTCTTCACATCTACTTGGAACCTCATGCTGCGGCCACAAATGGTGATAGTGAACCAAGTTCCATATTCAACCAAGAGAACAATCGTAATATTCGTAAGATGTCATCACCTCTAAAATGAGTAGAGCTGCCTCACTTCATCACACCCTCAGACAACAACGTCTCTAGCAACCATGAGCACAGGCAGCAAGGTCAGGCTGCTCTTACTGGTAAACATTAAGCTAGATTGATTGACGTTGAAATAGACAATTAAGATCTCTTCGATAACAAAAGGCTAACAGGAGTGTGCGAAGCGACCAACATACAGCATTAGAACATTGGATGGAGGAGAATGTTCCACAAGCCAAGAAGACAAGGGAGATTACGTGTTCCCAGAATTTTGAAGAGATCTAGAAGGGCGTGCTCACCATTATCGAACGTATTGTGGAGGCGCATCATGTCAAAGAGCTTCACTACGAAAACGTCATCAGCAGCCAAGTACTCGATGAAGGAATGCACCGTCAGGCAAAGCTCACGCAAGATACTCAAACATTCGTTCCGGATGTACAGCACCTTCACCGTAAAGCTCAGCTTCTCAACGTCCGCTGGTGATGGGAATTTCAGAAACAGAGCCCTGAGGAGCAGGATGTCCCCTCCAAACAGCACAAAGGCCTTACGATTCAGCTGATGGTTAGTGTTATTGCATTCACACAGACTCTGAGCCGATTTCGATAGCGCCTCTTGGCAAGAATTCACGTCGTTAACCACCAATGCGTTGTCAAGCTCAATGCACAAATGAGCAATGTCATGCGATGAGCTCTGTAGTCTGTCATAAACTGTGGCAGGCAACTGCCGTAAAGCCCTACAACCCTTCCCCGTGATTTGTGCATTAATAAGCACCCTCAGCATGGCCTTGACTCTGTACTGTTGCAATCCACTGTTGATTACGAAACAGCCATAGCCGCTCGATTTCCAAGACCCCATCAATGCCACCTCTACCTCAACAAGCCCCTATTCATAAACTCTCCTGTATCAAGCTTCAATTCCTTCCTACATGATGCACTATCATGGCGGGGCTGATTCAGACGCAAACGTGTGCATTATGCACAGAATCTACGAAACCCATCTCCTACTACCCTCTGATACTCGATCTCAATGACTTCCGAGTTCAGAAGCATACCCCCAAATCTCCCAAGCAATTTACACTCGGACCCGCAATCATGGATCCTTCGGTAAAGTCCTACTAAATTAAGTAGAGACCGACGCAAAAAAACTCATTAACCAAAAACTAAACCACTTGAACCTACACCACACAATAGCACGCACCGTCTCTCAAATTCACCCTAATATAGGCACCACCACACAATCTGTCTACTCGAAATGTTCACTCCTAAACTACAAACAATCACAGCAGTCCCTCAACTGAATCACACGTACTCACCATTTTCTCTACAAGCAGAGCTACAACTGACTCCATATATAGTTCCCTAAAATCCACCACAATGCACCACGACCAAACACATCCAATGTAATACACACCAAAACTTAAACAATCCGTCGCGACGCACAAATCATGGTCCTCATCGCCTCTGGAAACAGTAACCCCTATCTTAAGCACTCGAACACGCTCAAACGTCCATGCGCTCAACAACAAACAACATAACTGAAAATGTCCTCCTCCCTCACGTTGACGTGTTCTCCCACTAATTGCGAAGCATTAACCTTCTTCACTCCCGGAACTCGATCCAAACACTCGCGCAGATCAATCCACCCTAGCACTGCCTACATGACAGAGTTTCCGATTGACGTGTGGAGTATCTCCCTGAGCGATCGCAGGGCGTGTACGTCTGTGCAGGTCAAACAATGGGTACAATGACAATCTGACGAGCTTCAGGATGGCGAGATATGAGGAGTGTGTGCTCATTCATCATTAAGCGCATCCCCCTCCTGCTTTTTATTAGATTTGAAAGATACTGTGTCTCGCCTCCAGATCGTTTTGCTTTTGTGAGGAGCTAACTCCTCAATCCAACCCCAACCTCGGTCTGAAGAAACACTACTGGAGTTGGCGTCGCTGTCGACGTTGTTCGGTGAGCAGACAGTGGGGTGTTGCACACAATCCGACCGTGATTTCGTTGAGCCACATGCTCATGGAACTCGTCCATGCATTTCTGTTCGTTGAGTTTTACATTGTCACCGCACACTTAAACTTGGATGAAAAAAACGCCAAAGGTCTTCTATTTTTAATGAATGGCATTTTCTTAGATTTTTTAAATCCCAATCAATTCCTATAATTATTTTAATTCCTTCATATAGATAAATATATTAATTATTTTCTTAAGCACTTTGATTTCTCTCATTTATGGCCCTTCAAAGTAAGTAGAAGTCTTTTTTACAAAAAAGCAATATTGATGCTTATTAATTTTTATTACCTCTTTTTCTAATATTTATATTTTTAAAATATATTTATTTAAGCTCTTAAATAAAATATTTTTTTAAATCTTTCACCTATTGGATGTATTGCAACACAACAATGTTGTAGCTAGACATACTTGGAAACATCAAAACTTGTATCCAAAAGTTGTACGGCTAATTAATGATAATAATATATTTTTTGTTAGTGGTATTTGTAGCAATATTACTAGTGCCACACCTTTATAAATTATGATGGACTTATTGCTCAACTAAATATGATTGGCAATTAGCTTATTAAAGAATTAAGACTAAATACTACAAACCTTGAGTCTTGTCTTTTTTCATTTTTATTTTAGTAGGAAGCATGATGTTGTGTTTTAACAAAATTATAAGACAAAAGAAAAAAAAAACATAAATTATAGCTTAGAAAAGCTTAAGTAAAAGAAAGATAATAAAAACATTTAAAATTAATTTTATTATTTTATAAAAAGACTTCTATTTACTTTATGAGTCCATAAATAAGACAAAAAATAGATAAAAATAATAATACATCATCTTTAAGAAGGACTTAAAAATATTTTTTTAATAAAAATTACCTTAAAAAACTAAAAATTGATATTTAAAGAGGACTAATTGTAAACTAAGGACAAAATAAGAGGTATTTTAAGTGGTTTGGATTTTAAAAAAATAAAAGAAAGTTTGCATATTTAAAAATTCTTTGAAAATTCTAGCAACTTAATAAGTATAAATTTATAAGCTTATGCATCTACTTGTCTTAAAATTATTTTTGAATATTATTTTAATCTAATAATTAGGTTGACACGTATTAAAAACTAATTATATTATGATATTAGAATTTTGATTTCAAGGATTAATAAGAATTTTTTTGATCTTGAGTAATTTTCGACTTGAATTAAAATCAAGTTTTTTGAGCAGATTATAAACTTAGTTTTTAACAATATTATCAATTTTGAATATAAATTAACAGTTCAATAAGAAGCAATTACTCTTAAAAGATAAACATCAAGGTTAAAAAAGGATGAAGGCCTATACCTAAATAATTAAGGAGTTTTTTTTAATCAATAAGTTGAATTCCTTTCTTAATTATACTATTTTATTTTAATCATTAGATTATTATGTGTGAATTTTTTTAAGCAAGATTAATATTTTTATTGTTAATTATTGAGGATTTAAAAATATCTTACGATCAATTAGAATTTATTAGAATTACCTTAAGATTTGTTAGGAATTATTTAAGATTTTGTTAGAATTTCTTAAGAATTTGATAAGAATATTTTAAATATTTTATTTAAAAATTCTTTAGGATTATTAATAGAGTGTGTAGTTTCTATTAGACATAATGTAGAATGGGAGGTTGATATTGCTTTGCTAGTTGACAAGTTATAGCCACTATTTGTTGGTAGTAATACCATTTAGTTGTTATAGCCTAAGAAGTTGTTGTCATATTACATAAAATTTGCTTGAGAATGTCCTAGGCACTTGATTGTAGAAGGTAAAAGAAATTTGCAATAATAAGTCTTAATAACTCTAATAGAATCATATAATTTTTTTAATTATAATTTGATAAACATAATCAAATATTGATCAAGTCCAATTAAAATTTCAAATAAATTATAAAAGAAACAGAAAAAAATCCTAAAGAAATTATAAAGAAATAATAAAAAACCTTAAAATACCTTAAAAAATCTGAAAGAAATAAAAATAATCTTTAAAGAAATCTAAAATAAATCCAAAAAAATTCTAAAGAAATATAAATGATATCTACAAGAACCTTGAAGAAATTTTTATAAAATCTTAAAGAAATCCTAACAAAATTCAAGAAAAATACTTAAGAAATCCTAAATCTTAAATCAATTTTAATTAGATCCTAAATCTTAAATCAATCATAATCAAATTCTAATCCTTAAAAATCCTAATCAAATCTTAAGTCCTAAATTAAATTCTAATTAATTCCTAAATAAATCCTAATCAAATCTTAAATCCTAAATTAAATTCTAATTAATTCCTAAACAAATCCTAACTAAAATCTAACTAATTCAAATCAATCCAAAGGTAATTTTAAAACCTCAATATTTATTGACTAAGCCATTAATCTTATTTAAAATTTTAAAATTTTTTCAATTTTTTAATTAAAAAAAGTACAAAAAATTTGAAAAAAATTAAACATACAAAATGAAAGAAAAATGTCATAATCTTCTTTGATGTTAGCCAACCTCCATCTTTAAACTTAATGTTGATCTTCCAATAGCAATAATTCCTAATTGAACTATTAACTTGTTTTCAATTTTCTCATAAGTATTGGAAATCAAGTCAACTATTAGCTTCAATAAAAATCACCTCAATCCAATTATCAAATTATTGCAAAACTTAAATAACCTTGTTAGACCTAAAAATCCAATTTTTGAGACCCTAATCCTTTTAAATTTCAATAAATTCTAATCCAACTATTTGATTAAGCTCAAATTCACAATATACCTTTAACACAACTATACTCACAACTCTACATAATTTTAATTGTAGATCTACTAGAAAATTCAAGAAATTTTTCAAATTGTAAACTCTATTTTATTTTATAAAATCCAAAGTCACTAAAAACAATCCTAACTTTATAAAGCTCTTATAAAGTTATTATATATTTAAATTATCTAAAATTAATGTTTTAAAAAATCTTATAAAGTCTTCTTCCAAAATTTACTCATCAATTTACAAAAGAATCCTAAAATCATTATATATGTATAATTTTGAATCTTAGGATTTAATTTCAACTCAAGTTGACAACTAGTCCTCTTAAGATATCAATTTTTGTCTTCTTGAGGTAATTTTTGCTATGATCAACTCATAATTCCTTCTTATATATGTCTATACTCTTTATTTTTCTAATATATCTTATTTTTCTTTATTTATGGCCCTACAAAGTAAGTAGAAGCCTACTTTGTAAAAAAAAAAATATATTTATACTTTTAGTTTATTATCTTTTAATTATTATCTATATTTCTAAGATAATTTGCTATAATATTTTAAAATAAGATCTTCTAAAATATAATACTTTTTTTCACTCTTTCACTTATTAGCCGTGTTATATTACAACATCTACCTCCTCTAAACCTCTGCATCCTCTAGCATGTACCAAGTTTCTTCATTATATTGATGTAGAATATTTTTCATCTTCATCAAATTCTTGATCTTCAATTTACTCTTCTACTCTCATCTAAATTTTTGTAATGGATTTTTTTTCATTATAACAAATGTCTTCACTTCTTTGTTTAAATAACTTGATTTGCTTGCTTGCTACAAGTATCTTTAATTCTATACCATCAAGTTCTTGTAACAAGTATGTTCCATTGTCATAAATTTTTTTAATAAAATAAGGCTCAAACCATCTCTTTGCAAACTTCTTTGTTGTGCTATGTTGATTTTCCAAGCTACTATCATAAACTAACATTCAATTGCTATCTTGAATTGCCTTAGGTCATAAGAGATGTTTTTTATCAAATCTTTCTTTATTCTTTTTCCTTGCTTCTTTCAACCTATCTATTGCCGCTTCAATATCATTAGGTCTTTTTTCTAATTACTTGGTAGAAATCTTATACAAGTACCAAATACTTTATTTGTCAAAATCCCATAAGGATTGCTACTAAATCCACTATCCACTTATAATGTAGTGCTAAAGGATAAATTAGATGTAATTCATTTCAATGTCAAATATTAAAATAAAATTGATAAGTTTTACAAGATCCTACAAAATTTGCTATATCTTTATACATGCCCTTCTATCAATATTTTTCTTTCAACTTAATAAATGTTGCTCAAATATCTTGATACCTTATTTATAAATTTTCATGAAATTCCTTAATAATCTATTATTAAGCTTTTAAACCACATATAATTTGTTGTGATACTTTTTCTTTCTTCTTTACATGCTCCCATAAATATATATTGTGTATAAAATATTCATAGGATTTTTTTATGGATTTTCTTAAATTCTTAATCTATCTAACCTTCTTATTACTTTAATGTACTTAAATACTTTCCAACATCTTTCTATTTTCTTTCATATAAATTTCTTCAATTTTTTTAATAGTATATTCAAACATATAACTTCTTCTTTTGATAATATATTAGTATAAAAATTTTGTACCCACACCATCTTGGAAATCTATCATATCTTCTTTATTATAATATCTTACTCTTTATAACATATTTGTAACTAAATGTTTTTTTCTACAATATTTTTAAATTCTACATTTATAAATTTGATATATTCTATTTATCTTAACATAGCAATATCAAGAGTTGGACAACTTGTAATCATACTCAATAAAGATAGACAATCTCTTTTTATAACTATAGATTTACCAATCAAATATTCTTTTTTTATTTTTTATAGCTATTACTACATTCCATAATTCTCTTTTGATTTGTGTATACACTGTCATATGGCATGATTTGTAATCTAGGAATATATTAAGTACTTATTGTAGAGAGTTTAGCTTTGGCTTATATATGATGTCTTATCTCCCAAAATTCCCTTTATCTTGCACAAAAGGTCAAATTATAATGAAATCCTTCAAAATATTTTCTTTTTGTAAAAGATGTTTTTATCTTGAACTTTAGAAATTTATATTTCTTGATCCAACCGTTCAATTTTTTTAAA